TTTATTGTTAGTTATTTCTAAGTTCAAAATCGGTTCAGTTTAATACAAAAATAAGGCAGTAATCAGTTTTCTTTTTCGTTTGTCTTAAATTATATATTTTTTGAAATAGATTTTTGAAATTATTCTTCTCAATCAGATCAATTATATTAAATATGAAATTATTATTCACTATTTCATCTTATGTCGCTCTCTGTCGCACTTCAATCTATGAAATTACTGCTCGCTACTATGGTAACGACTACTTCTCATCAGACAAAAAATAATAACTATAAAAGTCTAACTACACGGAAAATGGAAGCTAAATTATGTACAAAATAATTATGATTGTGCTATCTAGAATGCGATATTCCATTGTGACTATAATTAAGAATACAAATTATGCAATCTTTCAAAACTTCTTGGAAATTAAGAAGTACCTTGTTAAATTCAAAGCAAAATAATAAATAATAAAACTGTACGCAGTGCTGTGAGATGTTTTTAGGACTGTATTTTTACGTAACTATTTTTATCCATAATTTTAGTCATACACTATGTTACACCTTCTCGAGTAAACTTTCAAAGCATCTTGTTGGCCTGCCTGTACTTCTAAAACTGTAATAAACAGTAAAATATAGTGTAAAGAACTGCAACCCTAGAAATGTACTGACTTTTCGATCTTTTAAAAAATTACAGCAAACCTAAGTGAGTTGAATTTCCTGAAAAATAAGTAAACTCAGGAACTAGAAAATTCTTCATACATACTCAAGAGAATAAAGTGCATTGCTTCGACTAAATTTATCGCATATATTTATTAAATTCTGAGATTACAGTATAGAATTAAGGCAGTTTTAATTTAAGGATTAAAATTTCAGTGAGTAAGATAGAAAGTATTTATCACCACACTGTATGATGTCTCTGATCAAAAAAATGTAGTTGTACAACAGAACATACGAAATAAAATAGACCAATCATACGGAAACTCAAATTATTTTATTTGATAGGATGCCCAACGTTTCTCAGAATATTCGTTCATGATGATCTAGACCTCACTGATTAATAACTCTATAATGTACTCAATATCCATAATTCCTATGAATTCAAAAGAGAAACAAAAAACCTGCAACGTGATCTTAAAATGAAAATATGAAGATTGTCAACTAACGTTTCCAGCGATTTATCGATTTCAGCAATAATTTCCTCAACATTCCGATCGATTACCGATGATTCCATTTTATATAAATCTTTATTACTTCACAATCGATATTAGCTGTTCAAAGCTGAAATCCGCAAAATTATATCGGATATGCGATGCTGTATTGAAGCAGAAATAAAAATTGAGCAGTTCTAAATCACCGAATGACAAAAATTTGATTGTATGTTTTCTCACCAATAAGCATAACATAAAAAATAGTTTATTAATGAGTAAATATTTGCTGCAAAAGTGAAAAAACCAATTACCAAATATAGAGTAGCTGAGAGATGTGCCAAATTTGGTCGATCTACTGTGGATAGCTGCAGTTCCAATCACTCCTGTTCACGTAATACAAATGACAGTTTGCTCAAGAAAAATCCTTTAAATGCACAAGGTTACATTACATTTGCATCTACACACATTTGCATAATCACACATTTGCATATCCATCCATTAGCATATTCATCCATTTGCATATTCATCCATTTGCATATTCATAAGTTTGCATATTTATGTGTCAATAAATGTTCCTCGTTATTTCTGCATTTCTCACTACAGGCTTACATGAGTGTTTAGTCTTAGCTCAGTGAGTAATCTTTCAGAACAAATCAAAATTACAGCAGTTAACTAGTAGCAGAATAGCTGAAGGTCATAACTAACTTGTTACAATCCTTAATAGAAAGAAAAAGAGATTACTGCATCCAAACTAGTTCGGTATGATTTATCTCGTCATATTTATAACGAATTACTTTTAGTAATATAAGAATAAAAATAACGACAATTTGAAGTTGTTAGAATATGAAAACAAAGAATATTTGTTGCTTGAAGCTAAGTTCAGATGCAGGAAATGCCGCAACTTTTTTAGCTATTCGCTAGTTTCATCGAGTGAGAATGAAGCATTATGCGAACTATTTTTGCATGCGTAAGCTGATTTTAGCAGAGATGGAAGATTAAGCTTCTGTGTTTTTCGTGGAATGAGTAATGGCTGATAATATTGTCAGCTGCGAATATCTCTGTGCTCCTGAATATTTTGTTTAGGTTGAGAAGTGGTTTTATGTTATATTCTTGTCAATAGTTTTTTGTTTTTAGTCGTTTTTTTTCTTATTTTTTGAGTTTAATTAATGGTATCGATAAGATACGATATTTAAGCGGGAAAAGGTTACTTAGCGAATGGTTTGAACAAATTATCATCTGCTAGTGATTAGATAGTTTTAAAAATCATTTTCTGAGTTCATTTACTTGCAGTCTTGTGTTTTACACAGTAATAGATAGATTGTTATTAAAAATTTCAAAAATAAATATGCGACTGAAATTAAAATTTTATTAGCAGTCTTTTCGCTTGAAAAATATTATTTAGAACTATTATATTTCAGTATCGTATTTAATGATCTGTATTGTTGATTAATCAAATGAAATTGTAAGTAAGGAAAGTTCATTCTTAACGTTGAAAGTAAATGCATAGTCAAAAGCAGTTAAGTGCTTGATATATTATTTATAGCTGAATTCCATAGCTAGTAGGGCAAGTTTTTGTTTATGGCACATGGAGGGACAGAACCAAAATTTTTTGTATTTGTAGTTAACATAAGTCAGATAACACACTTTTCGTTCTACTCGAAAATAATTTCTGCTCTCTTCCACTGAAATTGTAATTGTTGTCTTGAAATCTAATTCTTCATTTATTTCCTTGTATTCATTTTAGTTTTACAATTGGTAGCATCCAGAAATTTTGTAAAGTCTTTCATAAGCGAAGCAAAAAGAGTAAATTGTAATAGTAAGATTCGTTCCACACTGCTTTCAGTACTAAACTTTTAATAAAAGTAATGAGAAATATGTGGTTGTACTATTTTGATCACATACGAATCTAAGCTTCAAACTTATTGCTTAGGTTGTAAAGGAAAAAATTTAGTTCACATTTATCAAGCACAAGTTGAGTTATCTTACTTTGTTAACTGGTACTTTTACTCAACATCACTGACTCAAAGTGATGTTGAGTAAAAGTTTGCTATTTTATTACATTCTTATCAGATTGTCATTGTTTTTATCATATTTTTGCATTTTATCCACTTCACTTTTTCACATAATTATCGTATCAAAATGTGTACATTAAAACGAGTAGAGAAATAGAAAAATATACCACTGCATTCACATTTAATATCAGAGTGATAAAATTTAGAGTGAATGCAGTGATGGAGAACGATCTGTTTATTTCATCCTTCGCACTGCTTCTTCTTCCATGCATGCAATTTGTATGCGCCACTTTTGCAAGTTGAGAAACTGATAGATATAAACGTGAAGTAGTATAAAATTAAGCGTGCTTTATGAAGAAAACTGCAAATTGCTTGTAGATTTAGAATAAAACAAAAGGAAAGAAAAATTGGTGCATTCAAAGTTGAGATAAGCAATAAATTTAACTTGGAAGACGTGAATAAAAGAGGCAAAGATAATGAAGTGATGGAAATAAAGAAAGTGCAAGGAAGAAAAGTACTAGCGTATATAGCGAAGATTTCTTTTAAAATAAAAGTAACGCTTCAACATCTATCTGATTTTTGAAGCATGAAGCGAAGATTTTTTGCAGCTTTACTTCTACTTTTTTCGCAAAATCAATACTGTCTTTGAGCTTGCAAAGGCATCAAGAGACGTAGCATTGGATGACACGGATGCTACGCTAGCTGAATATCTTTCTTTAATTTGCAAATAATTATCATGTGGATTAAACGTGAAAGCCCACATAAAATTTAAAACGTATTATTATTGTATTCATTCTGCTAAATGTAGTTTGGAAAGGTGCACATTCCAAAAAGCAAATAATAATTAAAGAAAGGCGAGAAACATTAAAACCAAATAAGTTTGAATGTGTCACAGACATCCCATTATCACTATCTTCTTTTAAAACTATTTGCTCACCAAATATTCAAAAAGTAATTTGTGTCAGTTTACTGATATCAAAAGCAGGTATTGCTTACCTAATGGTTGAAAGAATAAATTATTTCAGTTTGAACCTTAGCACTGGGAAATGTTTACAGCATCGTCATGCTAACAACTTTTAACGATGAACAAAAAATAAGCAATCAAACACAAAATAGAAGACACTTTTGGACCGAAATGTTTGCTCCGAACTTTTCCATTATCATCGCTTGTTTCAATCAGTTCTTCAAATGATTTCTTGCGATGGAATAAATGGCAGGCATTACATTCTTGATTAGTTAAACTTCACTGCAAAGATAGTTGGTGTTTATCTTATCACTGAATGTAACAAAAATATAGGTAGCCTAAAAAATTTTAACGAAGCTAATTAGAATTTTCTATTTAATGTAATCTAGTTAAAACAGCTTCACTTGTGTTAAAAATATGAATAACTGAAAAGCAGCTAGTCATTAAAGAGATGTTAGTCAATAACTGAATGTAGTTCTGGCACTGATTAAGAGATCAGTCTAAAATTATATAAAATTAATTTTATAGTAGAGGAATGATTATTGCAAATGCAAAAGTAACATAAAAACTAGATGGAAGCGCAAGAAAAAAGTTTAAAAAATAAGAAAAAGGACTGATCATTCAATCTATCATTCCATATTCCTAAACTTAGATCTTTCTCTTTATTACTTTTTAATTTCTCCCAGTGGCAGCTTGTGGAACAATGCACTTGTGATATCTGAAATATGAAATTTTGAATTATAGAACTGACCTATAATAACCCACAGAATGACATAATCAGTACATCAGTACAGAATCAAAAGCAAATATTATACAGTTGATCGTTTTATTTATACTTTACGTCTGTCTCACGCGTATGATTATTGTATTAATATTTGATTATTATGTTTTATTAAATTTAATTTCCAGAAGTAAATCCCCCAACTTTTTGCTTATCTTTGCTGATGTCTGAATCCGAAGCATCAGTTGCAGTTAATAGTGTTGTATCCTTCGATATTCCTATCGGATAATAATTTAGCACAACATCAGCGTAATCATGACTTCTGATCTGAATTATAACATTTTTATCAACTTTTGATAAAAAGATAATATTTCTATCACGCTGTCCTTACTTACCACTGAATTAGCTTAATAATTTGTTTCTTCTTATTTTATCATGAATACTGAAACTATTTATCTAAATTTTTTAGCAAATAAATTAGAACACCTGGCATTTCAAAATCACCGTTTTTTTAAAGTAGCAATTTCTGACCAACCAATCTATTTATAAAAAATTATAATTCACTGACTTTATTGTGAATTAGAAATAAACCTCCGGAAAAGAAATAACTTACAGCTTTGCACATGTGTACAATAATGAGCATTGATATCATTGTTCCGATACCAACACCGATCAAGATAAAATTCAAAATGTCACTGGCACTCAAATCAGCCATTTGTTCACTCAGTGTATTGAGCGATCCCTTCAATATTTTTTTGTGTTTTTTCTCGGCAAATATTTCAAATATTTTTAAAATCCAAAGGTATTGTCAGTTCTGTACATTCAAGTCATTCGTTATAGCTCATGAAGATATCATTTATGTTTTTTTGCTCGTAAATTTTATCAAGCTATTGTTTGCATAGACCAATAATTGCTTTTATTGTATTCTATTTAGTTTGCTAAAATATATATCATTAAATGGACCACTGCATAAAGTAAATTACGTCAAATATAAATCTGACGATAAATCATAATTCTTTATATGAATTTAATTTGACTAGTCCATTTTCGGTGTCAAGCGACAAACTTTATGGCAAAACGAGAGATATATTTATTAGTTAAACACACATTCGGTTACAGAATGAAATTTTTTTTATAATATTTCTGTATTTTCATACTTATAACAAAAGTTGAGCTAAATAGAGAAGTTCTACACAATAATAAATAACGAAATTTTTAAAAAATTGAGATAAAACTGACAAGTTATTTTGTTCCTTTTTTTTTCTATTATAAATATTCCATATGCCATACTTTTATCTCTTCTTTATGTGTCAAATATCAAGCAAAAAAGTTTAATGTTTTGCAAAATTAAAAAACCCACCATTTAAAATAGACTTTTTGATTAGCAGCTGCTGTGTAATGTTTACACTTACAATGAACATCGCCACTCTCAACAGCATGGATTTAAAAAAGGATAAAAATCCTTAGTTTTGCATATTTTAAATCATCAGTGTTATTTTTTAAATGACAAAATTTTGAAAACAAGAAGAACAATTTATGCACGCTGCTTGAGGTAACACACTTTGCTCAAGCATTGAACGCTTTCAACAATACTGCTCAATTCTTGGAGCATACTGGAACTATTTAACACAGAACTGTATAAAATGCGTTAAATTTCACAACTTAAGTAATTTTTCAATCAATGCGAACAAGCAAATCATCTAATCAATGAACATTCTCGATTTTTTCAAGCACAATTAATTTGCCTACATTAATTTACTTTTGTTTTTGTTTAAACAAAGCTAATTTTTATACAAATCAAAAACAATTTCACCACTTTCTACATGAAATATCACCACTCATCATGCCTCTGATTTTGTATCTACTAGTAGCCCGGTGGTGTTCTTGGTGGTGGACAGTGCTCACAATGGCCAGCAATACCTAAATTGAAAGTGCTTAAATTTTTGTATTAAGGAAATCATGGCATATCATGCAAAAATTATGCAATAGAAACTAGGAAGCAGTACAGTCATTTCAGCATTAATATCAAAAGCCTTTTAAATTTTTTATATTTTCTGTAACAAAAAGATAAAAAATCACTTGAAAAAGTTAAAAATATTTCAAGCGCTCGTAAATTCAAAAGATTTATGCTTAAATAACATTTATTTGAAAAGTATATTTAAACAAGGGAAGATGTGAACCGATCATTCCATGTATGCCTTGCAATCCTGGCGGTCCTTTTCGCCCACTTTTGCCTTTTTTGCCGGGCTGCAATGAATTGACTAGTATAACATAGAATAGATTTAATTAAATCGAAAAAATTGATATGTCTGTTTTTTTCAATCAAATATCAGCGAAATGTTTGTGATATACTTCGCCTGGTGCACCGCGTGGTCCGAAAATAGTATTTCCACGATTTCCTTTTGGTCCTTTTAGACCTGGAGGTCCTGGTGGCCCAACTGGTCCCGGTAATCCCGAAGGTCCTTGTAAGGGGATAACCTTTCCATCCTAAAAACACAGTACTCTTTTAATCTTCAAATGAATTATTTATTTTGCTTCTACCGCAGTTAACACTAATATTCAAATCAAGCTTACTTCTCCTTTTTTGCCTCGAGGTCCAGGGTCTCCTGTTTTACCCACTGGACCGGGTTGTCCAACCATACCTTGTGATCCTTTTTTTCCTACAAATACCCTGTATATCACGAAAAGTATTCCCGTGGTTTCATCACTTAGATTTTGCTATGTTTACCATCATGTCCTGGCTGACCAGATTCACCACGAGGTCCTGGTGGTCCTTTATTCCCCGGTTGTCCAGATGGTCCAGCAGAACCAGGCATACAAATTATGCAAGGTTCAATTTGTAAGCCATCATGCGGTATTATTTTGCCATCTTTACCGGGTTTTCCATCCTAAAAATGGAAAGAACGCTTCAGTGAGATTAAAAGTTCGGAAAATATAATTTAAAAAGTACTTAATGAATTTCTTACATTTCTTAAAGTTAAACTAGAAATGTGTAAAAACACTTACTTGACCTGGTAATCCATCTTTGCCATCTTTTCCATCATCTCCAGGTAATCCTGGTGCTCCAGGTGGTCCATTTTCACACATACAATGCATCATACGTACTACTGTTTTTTCTGATGTTTCAGCTACTGCTGGTGGTGATGGTGGTTCAAACAATGGCTACAGTTAATAATTACTTGGTAAAATTTGGAAAATTTTCATCACCAAAGTTCCATGTTAAAGTTTTATCTGCGAATTTATAACTATATATTGATAGCGAAAAATTCCTTGTAGTTCCCCTGTAAATAGACCACACAAGAAGTATACCGCGGGTGATGGAGGACCATATGCACCGCTGCCCCCCGCATCGCCAACGTCGTCATCACGCCACTGCCCAAATAGCCAACCACGTTTTTCACGTCTTTTGTCTTGACGTTGATTATTCAATGCGAAAATTTCATGCCACATATTACGTGAATTCATCTAAAAAGTTACAATGATTCATTCAAAAAACAAGTAGACCAGTTGGGTTTTGCATAATCAAAAATAAAAAAGGAGAGAAAATAATACTTGAGAAATTTTTTTTGAAGTTTGTTAATGTACTAAAGCTTACTTTGCAAAAATCTGTTTCGTCCAAAACTTTAGTATGCAAATGAGTGACATAACTGTAAAGTAATGGTATCGTCATAATAGCCATAGATACCGAAAACATGGATAATGCCACTGCAGCAATTGCTACTGTTCGAAAGTTTCTATGAATTCTTTGCAAATTAATTTTTGCAAATTTTTATGAAGAATTTTCACAAATTTTCAGTTTTTTTAAACAAATTACACGCAAATTCATTGCATGAGCATCAAACTTTGATAATCATTTTAAAAAAGATCACTTACACTCACATTTTGCACCTCACTTTCTCAAAATAAACTGAAATTCAGCTCAAAAATAAAAAAACTATCGAAATGTGTTGAAAACTTTAATTTTCTTCTTGCAAAATTTGACTATTTCGGAACGAAATCTTCGAAGACTTCTTTAAAATTAAATAGATTGGAATTGGCGTTCATCATTTTCCATTTTTTGCTGAAAATCAGCAAGGAAGGAACAGATATTAGCTGATATAATATTTCTATTTGTGAAACCAAACTGTAAATAAAAGTGTAGTTGGGAAAAGTAAATGTCAACCTGTACTCTTCTAATTCTTGTTTTGGTTCCAAATTCATTGTAATTCGAAAAATAGAGTAGTTTAATGAGCAGCACTTACGCACTAATTCAAATGCGATAAAATGTGATTTAGGGTATTTAAAAACTTTTCTGATTTGAGATTATTTAGTTGCAATAAATCAGGACAAAGGATATGAAATTTTTGGGAGACCCATAATCACTTAAGATTGGTTTGATTACGTCACTAATATGAATATATAAAACACACTGATATATAAAGAATTCAGTATGAATTATATTTATCACTGACCCAAATCACTTTACGCTGTCTATATCCATTTATTTATCATCAGTCCACTAAAAATTCCAATAATAATATAAATCATACTGCTATATTTTTTAATCACAATGTTGCTTTTCGCAAAATTTTGAAGTGCACTGGGATGGCACTGTATGAAATGACTGATCCAATTTTTTAGATCAGCTGCTGTAGCTGATACTATATATATACGTAATAACGTGTGGTGTTTTGCATCAATTCGTGATGAAGGTATTACAATAATTTAATTACGAGTAAAAGTGAAGCACAACAGTTTTTCATAATTTTCATTAATGAAATGATTAGTATAGACTAGGCGCAACAGCTCAGAAGCTAAATACTCCATTCAAGTTTCAGATCGCTCTCAACACATCATCAATTGTCGTTAATCATTGTATATTTCGGAAGAACAAAACAGAACTTAGTTTAGTAGCCGCTTCTAATTTAGCCCATTTCAGCATATATGTTTAACTATAATGCAAAATTTGATAATCCTCTCAATGTTTCTTTTTTTTTTTATTACAAAAAATATTCCGATTAAGTGACCGCTAGAAGCAAAGCACCATATCTGTTTTTGGTGTAGTCAATATATTTTAATCTCTATGTTTATGTATAACAGCCGTTATTTATTGCCTATGGATGTTTTTCACGCGTATAGTTTAAATGTTGCGCCATCCAACAGCAACTAATTTGCGTTCTAATCAGTATTAAACTGCTTTACAACTTGTATAGTTAGACGAAGAAGAAATGAAGACAAAATTCTTCACTTCTCTATTCATGGTTTGTTGATTGTGTAGTGAAATTTATTGAATAACTGATTGATTGATTTAATGATTGATTTGATGAATGCATGTAAGAGAAGAAGGATAGAAAAGGATTGATGATTGTAGAAGACAGGAAAAGATTATAAGAGAACTGAATAAATGATATTGAATGGAACTTGACCGATGACAGATGGGTTGAATGTAAAGGTGGATAAATGACCACAAGAGGAATAGATGAATGAAAAAAGAAAATAATAATTTTGATTAGAACAAAATTCGTATACAACTTATCTCCGCATTATTATTGGTAGAAAAATGTATGTAAAAATGTGTCCTCTTTGATTTCTTTATTTTTTTTACGTTTTTTACCTCATGTTAGCAATGCTATGATGAATATTTTTGTCTTTTATCCGCACATTTTTTAATGCATTTTTTGCATTGAGTACAGTAAAAATGATAAATAATAGCATCATAATGAATAATACCATGCACTTTCACGTTTAAAGCAATAAAGAGAATGTGAAAAGGAGAGAAAAAGGAAGGAGAAGAATAGAAAGAGATTGACAAAGAGAACAGAAAGGAGGAAGAGAATAAATTAAAGGCAACAATAAATATTCTTATTACGCCTTGAAAGTCCTCATCGACTTTTACCACAGCTATCCAAACTGACCCTTATATGTATAAGGGTTAGTTTATATATATATATATATAGTTAGGTATACGTAAATATATATTTTCTGCCATTTCTTTTGTGTGATTTTATATTTGCTCATATCTTTTTTTCCTCTTTTTGTCCTCTTTCTCTTTATTCCTTTTCCTTGGGACCTTTCTCGACAAAATATGACATTTTTTTTACTGTATACCACTGCAATTCACAACTTTGTAAATTGTTATTGAAATTTTATCGAGATTTTTATCCAAACATTTCTTCTAAGCGTATTCTATTTTCTTTATATTATTATCTATAAATTCGTATTGCTATTGTTATCACAAAAATTGGAATAAATAAATCCTCAGCAACATACATCATATCTGTTTTCTCTGAAAATTTAGAATTTATTTGTTCAGTGTTATGTAGAGCTTGTAACAGACTTTTTAAGTATTATTTGATTTCCAGCTTTTGCTATCAATTAGTTATCCTTGCAATCATTTATTGTGTGCGAGTGATGCGATCACCTCCCATTGATCTGAATACTTTATCTACTGAACTACATAAAATCGCTCAAGCCAAGTAAGTTAAAGTTTTCCTATGAAGCTAAATTAATACAGTGGTTGCATTCTCCCCTCTTTATCTTCATTTATCACTTTATTTTTTTCCTGTTTTATACGATGAGATGATTATTTCTTGAACATGAAATAATTTCAAAAAAAATGATTTAAGCAAACTGTTGTTTCATTTTCATTACCACGCTAAAATCATGAATCCCAATTTCTGTTGCGAATAACTGGCAATAATGGTTATTACTATCCTTGTTACTGTCTTTTAATTTCTAGCCTTTTCATCCATGTTTTGAATTGCTTACTAATGAAGATTAATGATAACCAATGGTCATACCATTATGAAACTTGTCATTTTTCTTTAGTATCATAAGTTTAATGGATTAAAAAAATCAAAAAATTTCATCGCATAGCTTATTTTTTTAATATCTCCAAAATATGTCCATAATATTCACTGATGACTTTTGTTGTTCGTAACTTCCACATATCTTATTTCAATAAATTGGTTTCGAAGCAGTTTAATGTGCAGTAAAAAAATTGTACATATGTTTCAGTTCAGTTTAACAGTAATATTCAAGGGTTTTCAAGTATAAAAAGTTATTAATATTCACGAAGATAGTAGAGTTTCTGATAGTGGTATGCTAACGTAAGAGTTTGCATTCATTTTTGACAGGATTTTGAACTTTATTATATTAAAATTTTTATCTATGATATTTTTGTATTCCAGAACAAAATTAGAAGATTTCGCGGTGAAACGGAATGAACTGTTAGCTGAACTTGCAGATTTTCAGCAGTCTAAGAAATTTATTGAGGAAACACAAAAAACTATCAGTGATTTAAATGAGGAAAAGGATGCACATAGCGAAATCATTCAACAAATTAATATGGTTGTACTTTTGAAAATGTTTTTGCATCACATTACTAGTTTACAATAATAAGTACGTTTAGAAAGTGTTGCCTATTATGTTAAAAATCTGTTGGAGTGAAATGTTTAATTTTGTAATCTTTTCGTTATTACCGAATGCATAGCTTCAAATGATCTGATCTCCAAATATGTACTAATTGTTTATTACCGTTTTTCATCATCATTAAAAACTTTCTTCTTCACAGTATGCTTGATGTTGATTCAACCATACTTATTAATTTACTGACATGGATCTCATTTCTCAAAACTGTTATTCATATCACTTTTGAATATAATCAATCTGATAAATATTTCAGGGAATATTTGTCAAATTATTTTTAGGATAAACAAGAGTTAGAAAAAATGATGAATTCTGCAAAGGAAGAAAAGCGACAAATGGAGGAAAGTATTAGCCAAAAGTACGAAGAGATTTTTCGATTACTCGAACAGACCAACGAATTATCCAGAGAAAGTGGTGTTGCTGAAGAAGATCTTATTTCTCCTTCAATTATACCGCCTAATAAAATTACTCCGTCAGTTCTCTTTACTCCCCATTTAGCTTTTCGTGTTTTTATTTTATTTTAAATTGTTTTATAGTCTTTAAAAAAAAACTGTTTTTTAATATGCAGCATAACGAAATATAATCAATAAATTAGAAAAAAGACGACAAGTTCAAGAGTGTAAACGGTTTTTCTGATCTAAAATTGATGGTGTATTTTTTTACTTTCTTACTTTCAATTATCATAGTCATGAAAGTTTTGTAATTTGAAGTATTTGAAACTACAAAACTTTTACAAATTTGAAACAAATCTATTTTTTTCTCTGAATCAGAGAAATTTATGCTTTTTAAGCATATTTTGAACGTTTAGAAATATCCCTGGAATTGGGCCGTTGCAAGCAGTAAGTACAGGTGTTCCTGCTTTACTGCATCATTTCAAGATGAATTCCATGCCAGCTGTAGTTCAACGCGCAATGTTTAATTTTGACTCTATGTTATTGCAAGCTGCAGCAGGGACATCTACTATGACAAGACCTCAAACTATACCACCACATTCATTCCCTACGAGCTCAAATCTCGTTAAAGTTGATCATCAATCACCGCCTATGAAGGTGCTTTCAAAGTTTTGGCAGCCAAAATTGAGTGAAAATAAAGCTTCCAAAAATCTATTTGCGAAAGTTGTTAAAAATTTTTTTAGTCATTTCATAAATATTGGATAGATCTATTAGAAGTTGAAATAAAAACTCAAGTCTGATCATGTTTTCAACTTTTCTATATAGTTTACCAAAATTTTGGTCATATAAATAAGACTTGTTCGAAATCTTGCGTGCTCTATAGATAAATTTCCTTCGTTCGATTTTATGTCCTTTTTTTCAGACGTGTCAGTCGTGTTTCCAGCAGATTCATCGGAATGCTCCGATTTGTCCGATGTGTAAAAGTAAGAGTCGATCGAAAAATCCCAAGAAGCCTAAAAGAAAATTGCCAGAATGAGAACAACCTTGTGAAAACTGTGACTTCTTGTTTTTATCAATTGTATTAAATAAAATGTTTACTTTCAACTGAGTGTTTCGTGCAGGAGATTATCACAACTCAAGTTATGTGAAATTATACGTTTCCAGTTCTGACTCCATTTCAGTGTACTTCTTTACTCTCAAAAATTGTTTGATTTTTCGAATGGTTCGCATGCTTTCTTCAAGATAAATTTCAGCAATCGGGAAGATGCAAGAAGCCAAATACAAACTACATAGTTATCCCGGATGGCATAATTTCATATTACACCGCATGGTATTGCTCATTTCAAACAAAGCAAGATTCCAGCAGTTAGCGCAGTAAAGCGATAGGTCTGTCATTGGCTTATGGAATAGTACGTAGTCATACAAACAGTTGCATCTTCTTTACTGCAGTTTACCATACAAATTGGATCATTCATTCTAATGTATTCATTATTTACATTTCTTGTTGGAATTTTCAAAATTTTTTTTCAAAAATATTGTTTGTTGCCATTTGCCTGCAGTCATTTTTTTTTCGTTTATGTAAAATAGCAGCAGAGAAATGGTTCTCACTACAGACTTCACTCTTTTTTTTAATGTAATTGTTGTTTTTTAGGCTTCTACCCTATGCTCGATAGCGTTGTACATTTGCATACGTTCTCACTAAACGTACCTCTTCAGAAAGGAAAAGAAAAACCAATTCATCACTTCCATATTAATCTTTTCCAGCTATAATTAATTCGAGAAATTGTGTCGGTCACGTATGCTTGTTATTTGCGAGCAACAACCTTTCAGTTATTATTTTATTTAAATGATTTTTAAACCATGTTTTTTTACTTTTCAATGAAACTATTAAGTTTGAAGTAGAAGTAAACATGAGTACAAATTTTCAATATCAGTTGGTTCATACGATTTAGAATTAAATCAGATAAAGATATTCCATTCACATTTTTGGCGTGAACGACTGAAACATGCATGAAAAACCCAACCAAGTCTTTCATTTGCTATTTTTAATGAATACTTAATACCTCTAATATAGGTTAGAGTTTCTACCACTAAAATTTTTAAAGACATTAGCTCTCATCATTGCATATGTACAGTTACATATTTAATCATTTTTTTTCTTTTGCAAATTTTCGTGTTATAATCATTTACCTTTCAGCGCAAGAGCTTGAACTAGAATCGATGGATGTGTCATCTTTGAGTAAAGAATTATTTAAATTATCAGCCGCAAAGTAATAATCTTATGTTACTTTTTTTTCCACATAAAATGTCCTTTAGCAAAACAGTTTGAAATTAATACATAATGCTTATGCTAAATATTAAATGACAATTCTGTGTAAAAAATTCAGTGATTCATGATAACAAGTTGCGTGCTTCGTTGGAATAATTGGTTTCTTCTGTTGAACATTTATCGCTAATATTTGACTGTTCAAAATGGAAAATGTTTGTTCTATCGTATGAGTGGTGCAGCTAAAAAATTAATAGAATCTAGAAACAATAAAATTTGTAGTGAGTGCGTAAAAAATTTGAGCTATAAATTTTACAGCCAAAAGTTGAACGAGTTTACTGAGAGATTAAATGATTTACGTATTGCTCTCAATGAATTTCGGGAAATCTGTATATTTATTAGTAAATGTGAGCAGTTGCGAGCTGATTTGGAAGGTGAACGCAGATCACATGCAGAAGAACTGCGACAAATTAATCAAGTTGGTATATGTTAACATGGGGTCAATGAGCTATTCTATTATTTTAGAGAATGGTACTCTGACTACTGTAATAAATTATAGTTCTTCTCTATGTTAAGAAATCTCAAAATATTCTTTTCAGAACGACTGAAAAGTTTGAGTTTTGTATAGTACTGAAAAAAAAAGCAAGTCGCTTTGAACAATTTAATGAAAATGCAGTTTTGTCAACATTCATCACTTTAATTTCAATTTCATTTTTGAGGATATCAATCATTTGGAGGATGCATTTAAAAGTTTAAAAAATGGAAATAGTGCGAAAAGAGATAGAATTGCAAAAAAATATCAAGAAGTCGAGAGGGAACTGGATCTTACAAATGAAGTACTATGCGAAAGTGGTATTCCAGAAACAGATTTGTTAACAAATGAGATTCTTCTCCCGTCTCAGTTTGATGAGTGAGTGAGATAATTCATTAGCTGTAATCATTTTTTTGCTGCTGGATTTCACTATTTCTATGGCAGACAGAAAGATTCTGTTTTTATGAAAGTCGTATCAAATATATTTAATAATTAAGAAAACCGTAACTTGCAAATTTGAATTCTTCTTTGTAATACTTAAACTAGTTTAAGGGTTATTGAAAACAATGCTGCAAATCATTTGGCTCTAATGACACCTATGTTGTTAAACCATATATCGCATTTATCATTTCTGGATCTGTTAAATCCGCACTTTTTGGAAATTTCTGAGAGATTTGCTGGAACATCATCCGCTGGTGGTGCTGCGATTAGAAACATGGCATCAACCATTAACGAACCGGCCAAAATGAAGGTGGTAATGTATTTTTACTGCACTTAATGTTTGCGATATTTTCTGCGAAACTTCCTTTATATATTATTTATTTTTGTTAGCTAAACAATAAAAAATTTCCAGATCTTCGATATCTTTTCTGATATTAATTTTAAATAGTTATCGTTTAAAAGATCAAGTGGTGAAATCCCTCTTAACTTCCAGCAGTTAAATAAATTTATATGTGTCTCAGAAGTGTTTTGATCATCTGATACTAATTCCGTCTGATCCATTTCTATGTTCGATTCATTCTATTTTCTTGGACTAGAAATTATTGAGCTCAAGGTTTTGAAAACTAGAATTTGCAAACTTTGTTTGGAATTATAATTCGTACTTCGTTATCTTATGATAATATTGATAATTCTGAAGATGGATATCGCGGAAATTTTTGCAATTATAGCAAATATATTAGTCTCTCCTTCAAATTGTTCCTAAACAAGTTGCAGAAATGTCAGTACTGTGAACACTTGATACATCGAAATGCTCCTGTATGCCCACGATGCAAGTCAAAAAGTCGTTCGAGATGTCACAGAAGATCAAGAAAAATGGGACCATAAGACGAAAGAGATGCATCAATTACTGAAAGACCTTCAAACTTCATCTCTTCAGAAAATCTTTTGTTTCACAACTGATTCCAGTGAAGCTATAGCCCCATTGGTGTGATCATTCCACTTGCATGCAATGTGGAAATTTAAAATTGAATATAATTAGTCAATTGTAATGATGAGTTACTGTTGAAATATACAAGATCCATCGATGATAATGTAGTTGAATATACTATTTATGGAACATATTTCAAGACGAAGTCTACTTTCAGTACTTCAAAAATCAGGAAAAATTTACGCGTTGTAGTAGTTGTATGAAATTAAAATAAAGAATAATACTCGTCTTTTATTTTTTAAGCACATAGTGATACTGAATTAATGCTAGCTTTGCCATACCTTGTATATAAAATTCAAGCTAGTTAATTGGATCGTCCTAAATCTTTAACGAATATGTTTTTTTTTTCAGAATGTCACTGGAGTTACATATAATTCAACTCTTCATATTAATTAAAAGAGTGAATTTTAGTTGTTTATTGTTTTCCTTTTATGCTTTTGTTCTCACCTCAATGTGCATGCCATTAAGTATCCGGCATGTAATACATGGATGAAAAGGGCAGGCAAAATTCAATTACAAGGGTATTAATAGAAATTTATAATTTACTGGTAATAGAATTTGATTAATGGGAGTTTTATTTGATAATATTTTAAAAAAGTTTTTTTAATATTTTTTTTCTTGCTCGTTTCTCTTTCGTCGTCGGCCCCGTACAATCGACTTAAATTATTTGTCATTAATTTCTAATCAAAGTTTCATTAAAGTTTGATATTTCTACTTCCTTACAAATGACAGGGAAGTAAAATAAAATTGAATTTAGTTTCATACCTTTACAAATGCTACTACATGAGAGTACACAGTGTTGTGCTGCAATGACCCTGGCGAACGAGCTGTTGTTGCATCAGAAACTTTCGCACAACACATGGAACAGCTCTGTAAGAATAAAAAAATTTAAGAAGCAGAACTTTATATTCGGAATGATAGAAGCTAGGATTCGATGTTGCGAAGTACAAAATGTGTTTCAATCGGTAGCCTGTTCTAATTGAAGCAGGAATTGATGAAGCGAGGTGGAAGCTACTCTAATCCCTAAGATACGCTAGTTTTTGATTTAGCAGAGTGATTGGCCCTAGCTAGTATGAACAAATTTAAATAGATCGAATATTTCCAGCATTATATTTCGAAAGAAAATTACTCGTTCTTCCATAGATCTCATTGTAGGATCGTCGTGCTCATAATCAAAGTTATTCGCCTGCAAAATTTGCATACTGAGCATCCAAATTGTCATTATTTTTACTGAGTTCTCTAGCACCAAATTCAGATTGCAGTATCAACTTGTACGAAGTATGATGCTCTTAAGATTAACAAAAAAATATTCATGTTTCAAGTGACTTCTGCTTACTTCTGAATCAACATTTTTCTTAAGAAATGTATATAAATGTTAGATGAGAATGATCACACATACACTTAGAAGGTCATCAAACTGTCCATGTTTCTGTTTCTTGCCAATCGATACTTCCGAACTTTGCGTATGACGTGAACCTTCATATTGGATGGTTTCATCGATGGGGTTCAACTCGATGTGGAGCCGTGGATATATATCATGAATTCTGAGTTTTATTACTAACTCTACATCATTACGCAAGCTGGAGAAAAAAGTATGGAGCACTTCATTAATACACTGAAATTTAGAAAATTAATAAAGGTAGTCACTGGATTTACAATCACCATTAAAATAGCGCATGAGTAATACAATATTCTGTAGTACATTGTATTAATAAAAACCTTATTACCCTCTATTGAAATACTATATCCCACATTTTTAGTTACTTGAGTTTTTATAAAAATTAAGAGATAAGACAACAATTTGAATTTAGTTCCTTTATTCAAAAATTCTTTTGCTTCCAGCATGGAAATTCTAAAATAATTATTTTCATGTACACTTCTTTTCAGTTTCAACTTTGTTGTCGAAGATTCCTTAAATTTTTCCTGTGTTTACTATTTCTACAAAAGTAGACCATTTATTCCACCGAATGAAGCAAAATCCAGTCATCTTTGACTTTCCGTGATACGTTCTTTTACGGTGTGCCTTACCTTCTTAGTTAGGTTGATCTCGCTATATTCCCAAAACTGTGATGCACAAGCTGATTCACCAGTATCATGCAACGTTGCTGTAGATTGCTTATCCTTTTTATCTCCGGTAAAGTGCTCTTGATTTGGTATGTTTGGACTTTCTTGCATCACTTGCTGAACGACTATTCGACGCATATCGGTGTCTTTTTTTGCCGTCTGCAAATTAAATTTCATTCTCTTAATGCATTTTCAATTTGACCTCATCTCTTAATTTTGTCATCCTTGATATCAAATAAAATCATTGGATTTTTTTAACATTTCATCTGTAGTTAAATGAAGAGTGAAAAAATTTTAACAAATCGTGTTTGAAAAAAAAGAGTTAGATCCTGAAGCCTTTACAGTACGAGGCTCTGGAATATTTTGTAAATGACTATCATGTGTAGTTCAGAGTTCATAAGAAATGTTGCTTGTGAATTAAGTAATATCTGGTTCTACAATTATTCTGTAGCAACTTTAACTGTAGTCATAAAAAATTCAGTTGACTTGTTAAGATCAACTATATTATAGTGTCAGACTACTATAAAAATACTCGAAACATAATGGAAAAGATCCACAAAGTAGTTCTAGCCCGTGCCATTATGCTTTAGAAGTTCATTTCCTGTATTTCTCATAGTACTTACTTTACTTCTTCCCAGTTTCGATTCCATGTTGCACGCCTATAAAGACTTTCGTGAATTAATTAATTCCAGTCACTAATTTCAGTTCTTTGAGTCTCATGCATATATAGTTAGAATGTCTCTTAGTTTGCTATACATGAAACTACACTTGAAAAAGATTTCTGGTTCAAAAAAATTTCGAATTTCAGCTTTCAATATGATTATAATTTCTTGTTGTACTAGTGTTGTTTGCCTATGCTTTCCATCATTAGATTTCGTTAGAATTTCATCATTAGATTCGTTAGAAACTTGTACCACCCGGCGATGCTGAACAGATTAAAAAAAACTTTCATGAAGAAACAAGCGAACCATTGCTTAGAAATGTATGTAAGGAAATTGGGCATATACTTAAAATTGTATGCAAATCCCACTCTTTCCCAAACAAAAAAATTTGTGGATGACGCCATTCCTAAATGCAACGCGCGATGGTCAATGGCAATTATTCGATGGACTCACTCAAGTAAACATTTGGAACCTCTAGAGAGAGTGGGAAGAAAATATTTTTGACGATTACCACTGTTCTGAATGAACTGAGATGTGATACCAATGTTCTTTAAGGTTCATAAGAGTAGCAATAAGCTTGTACTAGAAATGACTCTTTTCAGCTCACCAAAGCACCACAACTTACCCACTTCCCTTTTTAACACCACTTTCCCAGACTACCCTTCTTAATGACTAGCCTCTAAGATGCTGCTGCTCATTCGAGTCCTTTTTGAATTATTACCAATTGACTGAATCCTTATATTAGATTCAAGACGAACGGTCAACCTACAAGGATGGTACCAAATGGATAAATGAGAGGAATGATCACTACAAGCATTTATATTAGACCATATTTGCTCTAATTTATCATGCAAGTTTTGTCACAAGCCAAAAATTCAAAAATTTGAATTCCATGACTAAACAATTTAATTGAAATAATAGTATTATACAAAGAACATATATGTGCAGTAGCTTTCAGCACGCAGCAAATTCCTTGGGTGATAATTATAGCCCCAGCCTGCTCGAAATATTGTCAAACAATAATAAAAATTGTTTGTTTGAGAATTACCAGCAGAAATGAAGTGTCGCAAATGCATCTCTCAATCATCACAAATGACTTCTATTACAGATGCAAAAATCTGAAAAATAAATCCAACTATATGTATATGCTATTAATTGCGATGAAGTGCCGATTCCTTTCTGAATTTGTACTGTGCATGCAGCTTAAATTGCTATGAACAATTTTACCTTGCTTTATCTCATAAAATCAAATCAGGGCATCACAATGAAGGGTACGCTACGATTGTTATAAATTTTATTGGCCTGGAAACAAACATACAATACACTTTTTTTGCACAAATTATTGAGGACCATTTTGAGGTATATCATTTAAACTTATTTAAAACTTATCAAGTGTGCACAACATCCGCATCTTTACATTTCTGTAATGTAAGGTCCATCTTGCACATACATTACATGTCACCTTATCCTAATCAACAAGTTTCGAGGCTCTACACTAGTTTATCAATTAGTTAATTAGTTGCGGCAAAAAGTCATTGTATGGGATTATGAGAACGTTAAGAACGAACAGGAATTTCACTGTAAAAGCAAGCAATTATGTTACTGATTTTTAATACACTCAACAATATCAGTAACAAATGAAGCGAAAGCCTTCATTCAAAAACTTTCCGTACCTTCCAGTTTTTCAAATACCACATCATGAACTCTCTATTATTATTCTCCAGTTACATGGAGCAAGCTTGAACAATATTTACGCAAAATGAGCAAGAAACATGCTTGGTACATGTGTGTCATTCATGTCACTTTGTCGTCAACTTTTTGCTTAAGATATAAAAATAAATCAATTGCTGGAACATACACGTAATTTCTCTTGGAACATCCTGAACTTATACAGATTTAAATGTGGAGTCACTTGCTTGACACTAGTCATCACCATCCCTCGCAACCACATTACTAAAGCAATACAAATACGCTTATTGCGAAAGTGCAAGGAACGGTACATCATAACGACAGGACATTTGGGAGAGAGTCACGTTGCCTCCCTCATACAACCGACACTTAGTCTGATCAAACTATTTCTTTCGTAAAGCATTAAATATAATTTAAGTCAACAACTTCGCCCTCAAATCTTTTAGAATTAACGTGCTACTAGCTTCCACATATATATGAGTAAACATTGAGGCCTGGCGTGTGTAAATTATCATTACATCTACACAAGCATGAAGTAAAAAACGAGCACTCATCTATGCATCCCTTCCTTCCTTCATCCATCCCATCTCACTTTTGCACACCCATTCACCGATCGATCTCAATTGATCGGTGACAGCAAGTGTCGCTCTTACAATGGCGCTAACTTGAGGTAGCGATAGAAAAAAGCTAGTTGCCACTCTTTTTTTGCAGTCAAATTCACTCCAACGGACATTACCGCTGTTGATGCTCCAACACCGTAACAGGCTGTGCCGTATACCATGGAACTACCCCAATGAGGTCGTTTCGCAGTTTTCCATCCTCCACAATGTGAAATTGGGCCATGAGATTGAGAAAAAAATTGTACGTAATTCACAAACTGTCTTTGTGCTTCAGTAGTTTGAATTTACCAATTTGAAAGAAAAAAATCTCCTTGACGTTCTCTAGCAAACTCTAAAATGTCTCCCTATCCTGTGACATAAATTCTACTGCAAAGCGCCAACATACCTGTCTCCAGTATGCAGACAAAAATATTCCTATCCATCTTAGGTACAAGTTGAACATTTCTGAGGCTATGTGACAGTCCACCCAATTTTTGGACTCAATATCCGGACCAAGATTGCTTGCTAATATGAACAGTGCGTTAGTGCACTCCTTATCTCAATTTGAAATACAGAGGCCTGAGAAGTTTATAGTATTTGTACGAAGAGTATTTGCTTTAAGGTGAAACGATAAAACAGAGAGGACGCAACAAAAGCATGGTGTAGAAGCAGACGCAAGTATCCACGAAACCCATTTTCATTGTAAGCTTTTTCAGGAACAGACCAGGCTGTGTAATTAGTGCCCGATAAGTGAGAAAAAGAAGAAAGGAACTTGCGGAATATTTTCCACAAATGACAATCTTTAAGGTTGTGATAACAAAACAAAGACTTGAATACACACTTAAATCATTTATCAGAGGTGAAATCAGGGAATAGTATCCGAACACATGGTTTCGAAAACAAAACACTTGATAACAGTGAATGCAGTGCGTTACAAAAATAAGCCACTACAGAGTCTTTCGGTTACTTGAAACATGCTACAATAAGAAATACACAATCTGCTGGAAGCTGATCCCTAGCAAGTATGCCGCTTAGCCATCAATTCGAATGTACTTGCAAATTCACGTGTCTGAGGTGGTAGTACTGCTAGCGAAATAGGTTTTTTATCACAGTTCCGAGCTTCGACAAAACTACACTGCAAAATAACCGTCAATTAATGCATTACTATCTAGCTGCTAAAACAAATATCACTACAACCAATGAAAAATTCAGTAGTGAGAGCGAATTTTGCCAACACCAATTTGCTTCGCCACTTTCTGAAAACTGTCTTACCGAATCTATGCAGACGACCAAATTTGACACACATAATTTTAATTTTTTGAGTGAGGAATTGATCGGACTACAAAGAAAAATCGGGCCAAATCATTAACAGCAATCGGTTAAAAATGAATTGTAAAAAGTTTTGAAATTTGTAAATCACAGATAACCGTAATTACATGTAAAAACCAACTGAGAACCCCTTGCTCTTCAAACACTGCTTGAATAAAACTTTCGCAAAGCAATTCTCATAACGCATGTAAGAACGATATCAGTAATCCTTACACAAAGCTTATTTACTAACATACTAATTATGTTTCGTCAAGTAATTTATCTACCTAGAAAAACTTGAACGAGGCATATGTTAGTGCTTAAATCCAACATTCAAAACTCTAGTATCGCTACCTCTTGTTTAAAATAAAATCGAAAGTATGAGTTCTGAAGACTACTAGGAAAAACTACCTAGTGCTACACAATTATTGCAATACTCCTCCACTAATTACAATAGCAAAGTTTCTCCTTTTTCCCAACTTAATGCAAAATCGGATACCAATTCTTGTAAAAACCCTCATTTTAATACTTTGCAAATTCATGTGATATTTGCTTCCTTCATAGACAGATGAAAAAAACTTAACTGATGGCTGAAATATATTTCTCCCACTGCACGTAATTTCATGATGACTCAAGTGATAAGTGACCATTCAAATCATACTCCAGACATTCCGAGAATGTGAACATGCAGACGTCATATTAAAAATATCAACGCAAAGAATCTTCAAATGTCGACATTGTACACCTAAAACTGCTGGAAAAAATTAATTAATTCATCTGTTTCTCACAAATTTCAAGTTTTATTTGATAGAAAATATTTTTAACATGCCAAAGATATGTCGGTGAGAAATTTCATCAATTTCCAGTGTAGTAACATCCCTTTGAGATAAAAATTTCGTAGATTTTTAAATGAACGAATATTCCTAACATCACTGCATTATAAGTAATCTTAATTACTGAAAAGCGGACGTACGCATAGCCAGAGTCAAACTGATATTGGTCAATGTTGTTATTCCTTGCCTTTATTTATCTACCTACTCTCGTCTTCTCAAACTCTCCCTCTTTGTTATAATCGACTTCACATACGGATACGGTAATTCATCGTCTCACCATATGAAAAATAAAACTACCACTACTAAAAATGCTTTTTTCTTATATATATATATATATCAATGAAGAGGTCAATATAAAAAAACTCTTTAATAGTTATTATATATATATATAATAATGAGGTTGGTCTCTTCATTGATATAACGAAAAAAAATAAGTTTTTTAGGGTTGTCTTTGAACTACGACACGCTACACCCGATTGTATGCAGTATACTATTACCCGGGCGTCTGATACAATAAAATCGAGATTGAAAAAAATATGACAATTGATAATCAAAACCACAAAAAATGGAGAGAAAACATTAGACCGAAAAATAGCGCCGAAGTGATGGCAGATAATATATCATTTTGCTTACGAGATAACAATATCACATTTTGCTGTTTACTAAAAAACAGAATTATGCAATAAAACGATTTAGAATGCAGTTTTCAAAACTCGCATGATTTTTCTAATTTGACAGGAACTATCTTCAAAGTACAGAAACAAAACATAAACAATCATCACTTTTGTGTTTTCACGACTAACCTTAAGAATTAGAAAATCAGTTGAAGCAAATGATTGTTTATAGTACATTCGTCACCATATCGCGTTTTCTGATATGCTGCAATAAATGTTTTAAAACTGATATTTGGAAAATTCTAGTTCGAGAGAGAACATTTGTGTTTTTAGAAACTGCATCTTATACTTTTATGAAGATCTAGCAAATTTTGGATGGCAAAAAACAATAGTGTATCAGAAAATGAAAGTCATACGCAATACATCGCAGTATCGTTGACTACCTATGAATTGCTCGAGACAAATTGACGCTTGCAAATGAAAACTTACGTGATACTCCAAAATTTTTCGAAGCTATATATTGATATTGGTGTAACTGACAAACCTATACAAGTTAACATGAATCATTTCAAGTACACTGATTAAAACAGTCTTGACGATTAGATGTATAACCTACGATGGCAAAATTGTATCGGTAGTCCTAATCAATGAATACTCTCTACTTAGTGAAAAACTTTATAACACCAATATTATCATAACCAAATAGTATTTTGTTGGAATTATTACAACAAATCATCAGAATTTTATTGATACTAGTCAACTGACATAGATAATGAAACTAACCTTGCTATTCTCAATGACTTTACATGACATTTTATGAACAAATGGAAGCAATGATCAAAGTTATATCAAGTTAAGGAAATGTGGCGTTCGCTCTCATTTGACCCTCATCATGACTACAACAATGAGCATACTAGCCCATGTCATACACACACACCTGTGAAGCAATCGTATAACACTTGGCTTTTTCATTACCTTGAATATTCTCCTTGGTAACCACTGAGCTCCGATCACTTTAGATCATGTCTTCCAGATATCTATCTATTCAACCATCAAACAAAACCATAGTTGGTGAAAAAATGCTAACAGAAAGTAATCGTGGGACGTCAACTGTTACTGAAGTTTTCAAAGGTCCTACAACAGTCTCCGCAAGACAAAATGTTTGGAAATATTTTTTATTATTCTCGCGCTGACATCCGTGATTATAACTAATCCCGCCATCAATGGCCGTCGAGAGGTAAAAAAATCTCGATGAGCGACTGCACATGATTGACCACAGCCTCCATCAACAAAAGAAACTTCAATGTTAGCACCAAGTTCGGTTTGTTGGCTGAATTCTACTCAAGAACAGAATCAAATTTAAAATTAACTGCTTCCATTATGCAAGCACTTACGAGTACATGAAATCGTAACGCAAAATTGGATGGGTGAATGGTGCGGTGCAGAATTTTTCACCATACAAATTACGATGCGAGGTTCTACATATTATACATAATTTCAATCTCACCTCTAACACGACTCACTTCATATATGTCGAAACCAGATTTTTCAGAAGATCAAGAATTTCAAGACATGATTTTAATTTGAAATTAGAGAAAGAAGATAGTTTCAATTGCTCGTTAAAACCACGTAACGAAATGCAGCACTTACACACGCACTCAATTACTAGGTTATTCTTGATAATAAAATTGCATATTGTGGTATGACACATCTTAACGATGCTAGCATACTTGGAATTCAATGATTCTACAAGAAAACGGTTAGAATAGTGGTAAAAGAAAATTATCATAATACCTGCAAATTTTCTGCGTCACAAATCCGCCAGTTTTGAAGTCAACGATCTGGAAAATCACACTCATGATATGTAGTTAGATGAACACAAAAGATTAAAAGCAAAAATTACCTGCTAGTGACGATGCAGGACAATGTACGTATCGGGTGAAGTATATATATAACTGGAAACTCGAACTGGGTGAAAGAATAAGTAATGGGCATTGTTAATGAGAGTAAGGTCGAAAGGACCTGGACCCTGAGGTGCTCTTGCTGTGACGCCACATACTGTCACAACAGAGGTCTCAGGGAGAAGGTCCCAAACTTTACTTCAGGCTTTTACTTGACGGGAATGCTTCAAAGGATAACGAACAACATATAGTTTGAAGCAAAAGAAATTAGAACGGAAAGTGAATGTGCAGTTGTTAAAACGCAAAAAAGTATTTTCATTTACTAAAGTATGAAAGTAATGTTCTAGCACACAATTTACTTTGCATGTACGATAGATCTCATGAATATACAGTAGACTACAGGAAAGAAAGCTGAAGGTAGAAGAAGCTACGACACTTCCTTTGAGACAGACGAATTCAGAAAAGGGTGGAAGATTATGAGCTTCAAAACTCTATGTTCAAGTGAATAATGAGTAAATGAAGAGGTAAATAAACAATTAAATGGGAATGCAAGAACAAAGTAGGTGCAATTCCTTGCAAAACAAGTGAAAAAGAGGAACGGGCCGAAACAAAACACTAAGCGAGTAAAACAAGCAGTAAAGGAGCCCTTGCAGCCAGCCTCCCAGCAAACCAACCAGGAAGGACGCAGAACCAACCGGGGATTGATGGCTGATGCTGCTCGCACTACTGACGACCAGCAATGGGAGTGTGCATGTGTATGTATGTGTTACGAAAAAAAGAAGGAACAGGCGAACAGCAAAGAGGGAAGAGAAGGGCAAAGGGAACGGAAAGCTGCCGACTGTTCCACAACTGACCCATTCCAAGACAAGCAGCACTGTCAAGACACTCAGGCAAGTGAGCGGAACAACAGACTGCAAGAGCTGGCAACAAGAGGGAGGCGTTTTTGAAGCAAGAGCCGTTGCAATCACCAACTGGCACGAGACGCAGCCCGGCGCAGACGTTTTCTGCTGTCAGAGCGCGGTGCCAGCCGACGCCACCACCAACATGGTTGCCCAACAAACAACTACCTCTCTTCCTAGCACACACTCACAGCATGGCACTCACCGACACCTTTACTCCATTCACTTGGCCCTCTTTTTTGTTTGTCCTACTACAATGACACCAACACGACACACCGACTTGACACGGAAATGCAAAAAATTGCGATGGATGGCTGTCAACTATCCCATCTTCTATCTACTATTCCTCACAATCCACATATTCATCTGTACCAGACATGCCCCAGTACTTCCTGAATGGAATACCACATTTCACAACCATAACTACAATACCGCAGCACAGTCGGCGAATACACCTGCCTCTTACGCCCAGATCCAGTTCACGGCGTTAAACATTACACAGCAAACTAACCACAAAACAATCATAAAATGAATACCAGTAGACAACTTCACTCTTCGAGAAAAATAAATCCATCTCATCTGCAAGCACGGCAAATAAATTAACAAAAACTTTGCAAATAAAAATGCAGCAATACTCCCCGCCCGCCCACATACACCCACTTGTCTTGTCAATACTAAACACTACGCTTCGTGCAATCCATGTTCCCGTAGTAACAGTCTGCACAGAACTGACTGCCAAGTATCCTTGCCGGATGAAGATGCTACTGCAAGTAGCAAACAGAACTAGTCTTATCTCCTTCTATCCCTCACAACACTGATATATCACCACACCAAAACCAGAGAAAGTAGTGCTACCCACTCACTCCAAACAAAAATTGAACGAGCAGTTGCAATAGTGCATGCAAACGACTCCCCCTGCTTTGGTATCAATCACATCCAGCTACCAATAATTTATACTACATTTCCACTCCTACCTTCCTTCGCTTCCAAACACGCTATGAATACAAGAGTAAACGCATGATACAAATGTCATCCACGCGTTCCCTGTAAGCGTAACGTCACGTTCGTTACTAGCTTGTTGATCAGAAATCAAAACTTTAGCAATCGGACTAACAATTCTATTCATGAACGGCAATTAAACCACAACTCAAAGACTTTAATTTGTACCATTAATCCATATACAAAACGTATGCGCTATTCCCCGCTGCTACCTACAATAACAGCGATGCACCTATAGATTTTCCTAACAGCACATATAGCTAAACCACATTTTGCTAACAACATTGAGGCTACAGTCTTACAGGATACAATATTTCTCACTTTAATATCAGAACATTATGATTCTTCCAGAAGGAAAGATTGGTAATAATAATGAAGTATCGTACTGCGCATCTTTAGAAGGTTGACATATTACAGTTACAGACTAAACGTATCTCATTGGCGCTTCCTGTGAAAGTACAAAAACATTTAATACTAATATGAAATTAGAATTCTTATTAAGGCAACCTTTCTGAATTTCTTAAGAAAAGTAACAACATCCTAAAACAAAAATTTATTGGCGTTTGCCAGCATAAGCGAACCCGGCAAATACGTAGAGATTTCCAAACTTGTTTTTGAAAATGTTTTCTGAATGCTTGATTGAATCTACCAGTTGGTGATATGGAACAATATAGTCACCAAAAAAATAGACCTGTAAAAAATCAATGAGCTCTTATTCTCACAATACAATGAGAACGGACAAACATAACTTGCACAAAATATATTGAATAGGCCAGACAAAAATTTTATTGAATAAAACTACATGGCCACCGTCCAAGCGAAAAGAATAACATGACGTTGAAAAACATAAAAGCACGTTTGCATCTGCACTAAGTTATTTTTAGAACATTAATTACAGAAAAAGTACTCATTTAAAAGCTATTTAGAAAAGAATATAACAGAATTTGCTTTAGCTCAGTAAACTTAAGTCCTGTTCCTTAATTAAGCTTAACTTGGCACAACACAGTTTCCGGCAAAAACATGAAATTTTGTTATTCATGTGGAATATAGTCCAACTAGTGTTAATTCTTTCTTTCAATTTCCACACATCAAATTCATTACAAAACATTGCTGCATGAAACTTCTAACTATTGTGGGTATTAACGCAATAAGTTACAATGATCCCACTTAGGTTTAGAATGAGTGACAAGTGTGATTAAAAAATACAGCTATTCACAGACCTACAACAAATAATTTCTACGAACAGCTAAAATGCATGTTTTTTGCGATCAAATGTATTTCATATAATTTAAATTTGATAACAAACACGCATAAAGTTGAAAACTTTCATATTGTCTAAGCAATGCTGATAAAACTATTTCTGCTGTCTACAAGAATACATATCACAATTATGGAAGAGCGTTAAAAATACTAACCTAGTCAGCAAATATCGTTACGATACACCGAATTTAGCTGACAACCATAATTTGTTGTCACATGCTTTTTACGGTTCGCTCAAATTTTCTTTGCAACAGCTCATAACTAAACTACGAAACTAGAAAGAAGACAACTGGCTAGACAATAGTTATCAGAAAGGAAGCTGTTAGAATAGTAGCAGTTATTCTCCTATGCTATAGAATGGCTGTCTAAAAACGAGGGATACAAATGAATGAGTGTGCCTAAAAACATCAGACATTTTTATACTGCTGTGATACTCGATGATTCATATTAACTTTTTTCAATGAGATCAGCGCTGATACCGACCAGATCTAAACTCCACCCCAATGACGAGAGACAAAGATGACGTGAAAGGAAGGAACATTAGTCATTTACATAAAGGTAAATGAATCATTTCAATATCCTGAAACGACCAATAGTAATCATTTATAGAATGACAAATAATTATAACAATGACGTAAAAAAAGTTTGTGAAAACATTTTTAATAAGTTCCTTACGCTGAATGTTTCGTGACATCAAAGAATTGAAGAAAGAAAAATGCTCCACATACGAGGTTAAGTAACAAATGTATGAAAGACGAAAGTACATTAAAATGGTGGAAAAATTTTAGTATGCTGAATAGAGAAGGCAAATAGAGAGTATCCACCGACGTCATCTATCATAAAATGAAAAATGACAAGGGGGCAGCATTATGCCACATCGAGAAAGTACAACTTTCATTAATTCAAGGGAACAATAAAACGTGAATAAGCTTAAGTATTCTCAAATCCTTTTTCTTGCTTTCCGGACATGAAAGAACTTTCAACGAATAAACCGCCGAGCTCAGCATTTCCTCTGGTCCAGAAGGAAATTTAGTCTCGAATATGAACATGCACTGGACAGGAAATTTTGACTACCACCTAGTCCAAAATATTTTTCCTTTCCTCATGTCTTTCCCACAATACACCTACTATTACTACTACATCATTAATCACAAGCAATATCACGTACTGCACTTGTGCTTATGACTAAATAAAAAATGTAGAGACGACAGCAAAAGAAGGTTCAGCATAATCAAGCCTAGGGGGGTTGGATGGATGGATAGATATAGAGAGATAGAACAACTTCACAACGCTATCAGACATTCTCATTCCTCGTAAATTGGGTAAAAGAACGGCGTTCTTTCATCTCTGAAATGTTTACTAATGTCGTTTGCTAGTAGAGAAAAAGGCACTTGCATCATCTCTTCTATCATTGGTTGCTTTCGTGAGCACAACAGAAAAAGAGAAGAAAAATGCACTCGAAATACGCAAGCAGAAGTTGCTCCTCACAGGACAATCGCGCCCTATTAGTTAACAAAACTATTGTACGTATATAAAAATCATCTACATCATACAAATATTTGCCGGGTAAATAAGAAATAACTACACACACATTCATGGTGAGGTCGATTATTAAAGTCATACAAAGAGAAGTTTGTTATCAGTTCACGATAAATTTTGAAATGAATTATTTGCCGACTACTTTTGCCCTCTGTTTCTCTTCATTAGAGTGAATGTGCCTTCGTATCTGAAAAATCATGAACCGAATTGAGCTGCTGTTCAAGATGAGCTATGCTTCTCAAGTCTAAATTAGAGGCAAAAATCAATGTTGTAACGACTTGAGCTCATCTTAATTTTTTCAGGCATGATAAACAAGAAACTGTACTTAAATGAATGAGCAAAGAGGTAAACTTTTCTGCGTATATAATTGAATGGAGGATCGCTGAGAAGAATTTGCAAGCAATCGAAAAAAGATGGAAAATACTAGTCAATGTGATAGTAATCCCCAATGATATTGATTCAATAACTAAGTGACTAAGTTATTTGTGGAACAGAATCGCGCCGATCTATCATTTATCGATCCCACGTAGAGTTGAAAATAATTTACTATTCGTGATGTAAAGTACCACTTATATACCAGTGGTCACTATACATAGAAAAGCCGTGGAAAGGAGAGGCACTGGTGTTGGCTGGTGCCACATTTGCAACCGGAAATCTCTAAAAAACAACGACCACATTAGCCACTAAGCACAATCGGACACATATACATATGCACACACTCTCACGCACGAACAAACTCGGCAACCAATGCCATTCAAATGAACCCACTTCTGTCTTCCTCACCTGTCACTGAACAAATGATTTATTTATTCATTGCATACTTTTTTGCTTTTTCTGACTACATCGTTCTCACCAACAACTCCATCCTAATGCGTTTAATGCGTTCAGTACAAACACATTATCTTCACTGAAGTGAAGCTAGTGATAAACGTATGTGCGTTACACATTTGCATCTTAAAACATGCAGTTGTTTGCTTTCCATAAAAAGCTTAAAAAATATTGAGGGAAGCAAACTTTCAAGCACGTAATTCCTTGCAAAAAACATTGAATAAATAAGTGCATCACACTGCCATTCCTCGTCTTCTTCCCTTGGCAGTTGCTGACTTATCCATAGATTGTAAGTGGCAATATGAAGATAACACACAACGAAATAGTTTCTTC